CATTCAGATTCTTTACATATTGAGACTGTGCTGGCGAACAGGTTGCCCCGAATATAGCAACGTCAGACGCCATAGTGACCATGGGCTGAGATGGGGAGTTACGGAAAACGAATAAAAGTGCACTTCGATCTTCTTCTCTGATCCCGACTTGCAAAAACATTTCCTGAATATCCCCAGACATCGCCACTTTTCGTTCACGGAATTTGAACGTTACGCTCATTTGCGGGGTCAGCAGATCCGGTCCCTTTAGTAACATCGTGTTCAACGACACACCATTTACTTTGGCGGCCGCGTCCCATATCACGCGCACTTTGCCAGGTTTATTGGGATTTAAGACTACCCCAAGCGGCAAGTACCAAGTACGGCGTGGATCAAACTTAGCCCTTTCTTCATCGGTCACTACGTGGATGTACCCTTTAAACTCGTAATCTGCTATCTGTTGACGCACGCTGTCATACAGCTTCGGATCCCTCTCCAGGCGCCGTTCGAGACATTTCAGTCGTCGCTCGGCCATCGGTCGGCTGTCAGGGAACTCGAAATCGTCTTGTTTCCACAGCAGCCCTGTCTCGAATTTTCCGTCCGTCTTCCGTATCGTCGTTCCTTCAAGGATCAAGCGCGCCCGTTGATCATCCTTGCCTTCCAAATTCGGTGCAACGGCGACACCTATGCTTTCCACCGAGAAGAATTCTCGAACGTAATTATGTAGATCGAGCTCGGTTAATTCCGCACAAATGTGCATCTGACGATGTAGAAACTGATTCTCTTCACCACGCAGACAACCGCAAACAACCCATCCGATGCTAGTTTTTGCAGCAATAGGCTCTTGCTCCTTCCCTTCACGTATTTTGGCAGTATTTAGTAGATGAATATTATTTACTCCAATCAGCAGTCCTGGCGTAGCCCTCTGGAAACTCTTCACCGGTAAACGTTGTAGGTGCTTGTACTGTTTAGCTAACTCATCTACATCAATCGATTGTTCCGGAAGCCCCAAGTTCTCAACTGTGTAGACTTCTGATAACTGATACACCTTTCTACTCCCAGGTTCCGAAATACCTAGCTTAACGATTTGAGTTGTAGCCACTTTCTTGTTGATTCCGCTGGTCCACTGCATGCACAAGGATTGCACCTTGCCATCGACCCCAAGTTCGTCAGCTATTGATTGCTCTAGGAGAGTTGTAGATGATCCATCGTCAAGAAATGCGTAAGTGTCGATAGTGCCTGTCTTGCCGTACAACGTGACCGGTAGTATTTTGAATAAGGTCGACGTAACTGGTTGTCGGTGGACAGTGACAGTGGCATTCGTAGTAGTCAAAGGCTGTTCCGGCTTAGGGTTGTAATGAAGTAGCCGATGGTGACGTTTCTGACATTCGTTTACTCCACAAACTTCGCCTTCACATGGCCAGCGAGTGTGTGCGATCAGACATCTCCGACAGAGTTTCTTTTCCTTCACCACTTTCCAGCGTTCGTTCACTGAGAGCTTCTTGAACTCGACGCACTTCTCTGCGATGTGGTCATGCGATTTGCACAACGGACATTCCTTTTTTGTATCGCTTTCGTTGCGCTTTATGTTCGATGACTCTACCCGTTGATCACCTTTAGGAAGACTGGCAGATGATCCTTGCTTCTTCTTTTCGTACGTAGTATGTGTGTTCACATATGCTTTTTCCTTCGCCTTAGGTTTTTCATCTTTCTGATGCTTTGAAATCGGACAAACATTAGTTATTCCACTAGTAGCGGTCGTGACTCTTCCCATATATTCGCCAAACGTCCTCAAGTTGACAATCGGCTGTTGCTCCTGGTACAGTGCCCAGCTGAATTTGATGTTGGCTGGAAGTTTATCGACGAGCTCTTGTAGTAGAATGGGGTTGGAAAGGTGATTTTCCATTCCAATCGCTTGTAGATGTCCACACAGATTTTGGACAACTAGACCAAACTGGATTAGAGTTTCCAGCTTGTCCGCTCTTGGTGCGGGAGTGGCACGAACTTTGGTCACCATGTGATGCACGATTTGCTCGGGCCTCCCATACAAGGTCTGTAGAGTTGACATAATTTGAGGTACTGTCGATGGGTGTAGCAGAAAGCTGCTCACCGATTCCTTTGCGATTCCTTTCAACGAACGTTGTAGACGCAGCAAATTTTCCGAGTCTGAATAGCCACATGCATCTGTTGAATGCTGGTAACTACTTACAAAGAGAGGCCATTCAGTAGGATCCCCAGAAAACGTGGGGAGTTCCTTTGGGATCACCTGTCTAGCTGCTAGCTGTTGACGCGTAGGTCCGTATTGGGCATTCAAGAAATTAGTCCTACCGAAATTGTCTAACCCTGGAGGGTGGTGTTGATTAAACTGCGTTACATTTGTCGGCCCTATCTCTCGATTTATGGTAAAAGTGCAAGGTGTTCCTGCTCTACCCACCGTACTAATGACACTAGGACAAGGTGTCTTTCTATCCGCATACGCTACAGAATCTGCTTCGAAACTATGAAATCGAGAATCACTCACCATGGACGCCAGAGATGTACCACTTCTCGTGGACTCCGGTAATGCTGCATGTGATGGATGTCCGATTTTCTCTCGTAGAAGAACCGATTCCAGTTGCTGAGCAAGCTGCTGCTCTCGTTCTTTAAGTCGCCGTAGCTCTTCTTCTCGCGCAGCATGTTCTTGCCGCCGTTTGGTTTCCAGTGCCTGATATCGTTGCTGACTATCCTCTAGTTGTCTTTTCAATGCGTTTTCCACTTCCTGTAGCTGTTGCCGCTCTCCTGCACGCTGCTCCTCCAGTCGATTCAGTCGGTTTACAAGTTCTATTTCTCGCCTTCGCCTCAATTCGTTCTCCTGCTGGTGTTCTAGTTCCATGTGACGTTGCCGTTTCAAGTTCGATTCAATTTCGTGTAATCGATTCTCTAATTCCTTCTTCTCGTCGTATGCTTGCTGCAGTTCCGCTTTGCCACGCTTTTGAAGTTCATTTGTCTCACGCGTCCATTTTTCAAAGGGGGTAGGGCGAGAGATAGGGTTCGTTATCTTTCCGATGATCTTCGGGTTCGCACCGGTATTCGGTCGCTTCAAGGTCAGTTCAATACTTGGAAAGTTTGGTCCTGACTCCTCCAAAAGCCGCGTGTATGGTTGAATGTTTACCAAATGCAACTTGGGGAGATCTTCTTCCGGACTGTCACCAATAGTGATGCTCTCGATCGTACGGGGTACAGATGCCCGTTGCTCGTCAGCAGCTGGTTGCTGATTTCCAGCAGTGATTGCGCTACCACCCAACGGAGTAGACGAACCAACAGGGATAGACTCTTTTGGTTCGACTGACTCTGGAATGTTTTCTTTCTCACTACCACCGACGGCGCCGGTGCGGGAAATATGCTGCTCAACCCATTTCTCCACCTTTAGTATACTACTACTGCTACTACGACGACTCACAAAGCTCTCAATGTCATCGTCCTGCTGGCGGAGCAACTCGTGCTTTCTAGCTATGAACTGCTTTTCCCGCTCCAGTTTCTCCTTAGCGGCTTTCTCAATCAGCAACTTCTCCTGCTGTATCCGCTCCTGTTCTACCTGCTCTTCAGCTCGCCTCTCGTCCTCCAGACGTTGGATTTCACGGTCAATGTGGGACCTACGACCGCTTGTAGCACTCGATCGACCAGATCCCGACCTAGCTGATCGCTCTGGTACTCTCTTCGACGAACACTCCGCACAGCAAAACTCCTTCGAATAGACAGCATTCGTATCCACCCTCGCGCACGAAAAATGGTTCCAACGCTTGCATCCTCCGCATTGGACCATATACAATTCTGCATTGTTGGGTTGATCACATACAGCACAATCGAGATCCTGTCCGTGCTCAAAATCGATCATCGAAGGCATAAATCCATCCTCTGTCAGGTCCAGATCGTGTTCAGAAGTACTAAGATGTTCTTCACCGAAGAGATTAGACTGTTTGGCAGCCTTGGTCTTGGAACGAGTCTGACGAACAAACGATTTCTCCATTCTCGGTACTCTATAAATCTTTGAGATTATGTTGAAATTATTTCGGAGGTCTTCAAAGCAACTCGTCTGTGTTCCCGATCAAGATAGCTCAAAGCTGTAAATTTATTTAAGGTTAGGATAGCAACAATATAAATTCATGTTTTCTTACATTTAGTCTCCTTACACAATGTACCAATGAATGTAACAAATAAAGAATTCAATTTTCTCTTATCCAGTCTAGAAACAAGAATATAAATCAAATAAAAGGTACTAATTTACTGTAGTATAATATTTACGTAATAATATATAATGTTGCACTAGATTCACCAGATAATGACAAAGCAATTCTACATTTGACATTTGTATCGTCTGACAATTCGACTGACATTTATCCTATATATTCTTCTCGTTCACGAATACTCTCACGCTGAAACAAGGGACCGCCCGGTGACTGCATTAACCACAACAGTAAGAAAAAAGTACCCAAAATTGAGTTCCTTTCACTCATCACGTGGCTTCCGTGGGGCTAGGTAAAATTAAGTTAAAGAAGAAAACTCAATTTTGAGTAATCCTGATCGTTGACCAAGTTGACAAAAAAATAATAAAACGGAGAAGACTGGACCCGAACCATGGACGTTGAGATTACGGGGCCCGTGTGTTGACCACTCGTCTATCAACGCTTGTAAAACTGAAATGGTTAAAGGCGATAAGAGCAACCTCAATGAAAATAAACTTATAACCTCAAAATTTGAGGTTTAGTGATAGAACCCAACGTTGAGTTTTTTTAAACTTAATTTTGAGTATTTTTTCCTTGCCGTGTTGGTTTGTGGCAGGTGCCGATAAAAAACAATGTGATGTTTTGTTTTGTAATAAACGCCCTCCTTGGCTGCTATGAATTAGCGACAAACGGGTGAAGATTTCATTTAGATGATATTGCATAGGTAAATTTTGATTAGAAAAAATAGCGTGAAGAAATAGAAGAAATAGCTTACAAAAGTCTACAATAATGTATGCAATATGCAGGGCAGATACTCACTGATTTTGAATATTTTGAGCAGCAGGCTTTGCTTGAGGCTGGTCCATCCGTATCCGGAATGAGATTTCGTAATCATAGCTAGCACGGGTATCTGTTTTACTCAGCACTTTGTATGCTTCTAATAGTTGTACGAATGATTTTTCTTTGGCTTTCTTATTTGTGTCGCTGGCGTTGACATCTGGATGTAACTACAACGGAATAGTTGGACATGCATTAAATAATGGATACACGCTATTAACCAGCCGAATATACTTCTTTCGACAATCTTATAAATGCTTCTCTTATTTCCTTAGGTGTACAAGTTGACTTAAGCTTCAACACCTCATAGTGGTTTGTTTGATGCGCAGATCTGTTATTAGTTGGAATGAAAAATGTAAAATTTTAATGTCTCTAATGTTGACCTATGGATCTAAGATTGGGCCCATCGCTAAAAATCTGCTATTTATCCATTTTATCTAGATGAACGCGTTATTGGGAAGTTACTAATGGATATTTTTGGTTGCTATTGAAAATTTAGTCGATTGCTGAATTTATGTATGGACCCAAATTAGGGACACTTAGGCCGACATTACCTGCATTTCCCCTACATTTAGCCATTGGATGTTATTGATATCAGGCTTATAGGACTTACCTTATGTGTTGAATTTGAATGATCCTATTGCATAGATGTTGTTTTGAAAACCTAAGCATTTTAGTTTCGGGATGGTTCTTGATGTTGTTGCTGTGGAGGACGCGAAATTAATCTGTTATGAAACTTCACAGCTGATTCTGACGTCAGCTCAGCTTTATTTTATGTTGGTATTTCAAGCTGAACATTGCATTAGATCCTAAGTAACATTAATCGATTCTCTTCATCGACTTTCTCTTTCGTTAAAAACTAGAGCACATATAACCGTTTCTTGTTGTGTTGAAAGCGTATGTACGTCTTTTATCGATATGTGTGCTGAAAATACCTGGGTATGTCTTAACGTGGCCGTGGGGATACAAAGAGAAAGTCGACGAAGAGAATCTGTCAATGTTACTTAAGACCTAATGCAATGTTCAGTTTGATTTATTTGTTGTGGCATTTAGTTCATAATGTGAAGTGTAGATAGCGTAATGTTCTACTTAATGGGGCTCCAAAATATACACACGGAAAGACGAAATAACTCAAAATCGAGATGAAAAGTACACTCAAAAAATCAGTGCCAACATTTCAAAGGGGCGTAATTGCATTTGTAAACAATGGCTTTAGCCATAGATTTCTCGCAAATAAAAGCTCACTCATGAAAAATAATAACACCAGCAGGTAGAGGAATGTTTCCTCTACCAGCTAGCATTGTAATTTTGGAGAGGTAAGATATCATTCGCGAGAAATTGACGGCTAAAGTAATTGTTTACAAAAGCAATTACGCCCCTTTGAAATGTTGACACTGAAATATTGAAATCTAAATAGTATAAAAGTTACGCTAAATAGCAACTCTCCGTACCGACGCAAAGGTCGGTATAAAGGGAGAGAATGCAAACTTAGTATAAAAATGGTTTATGCGTGCCATAGTATAAAATCGAAATATACTCACAGTGCATATATACGGTTTATTCAAGAGAATGTATTTTTCGCTTCTTTATTTCATTTATGGTAAATATTATTAAATTGTCTCAGGAAGCTTTTTTCATTAGTTTATTTTTTATTAATAATATTTTAAAAAATACTTTCAATTTCGATGCTGCCCAGCAGATTACAGGCGCAGTAGAAATCCGCTGGGACAAAGCCCTTCACCAGCACGAAGCTCCGAAGGGCATCCAGATGTTCTTATTCCTGTCATTTTAGTAAACACTGATCGAATTCCACTCCGTTATTCGGACTTAGTATAATTTTGACGAAAATTTTAATCGAACCAATGTATAAATTTTGAAAAACCATAAAATGCATATAATTTAATCTATATTCGTTTTGTCATATTTTTGAGTGTACTTAAAAATAAGTACCAACAATCAATACGAAACTAACGATTTTAAATTGGCTCACCACTTTAGTAGCCTATTGGTCCCAAGCAAACGATTAACGTACCCTATTCTAGTCGAAATTCTAGTACTACGCAATGTTTGTTTTGATTCGCTATGAAAGTTTGACAGATAAAATGAGGGGTTATTGGTTTTTCCTATGTTTCGAGGGGTGATTCGACAAGCTTGGGACCGAAGACCCTATAATAAATTTGTTATGGTTATTTTGCTTAACGACGTGTTTGGGGTATCATCCAAACCATTTGTGGAAAAGTTCAACTATTTGGGTTATTGTTCGTTATGGTATTTGTTTATTAGGGGATAGTACCAGAGGTGAGCCAAAAAGTTGAGCACGTTTCTTCGGGACCTACTTGTCTTAGAGTTACCTCTATGTAAGTACTTCTCTATCACTACTGTTTTGCGTACAATTTTGTTCTCATTGATGATTACTTTAAACTTAATCTTGAAGTACAACGATAACTCTTACGCTTCGTTAATTGTACTCAAACAGTAGTCTTGAGAGAGTTCATATTTTTGCGAACTTTTTATCTCGATTTTGAGTTGTTTCGTTTTCTTCACTATGAAAGTATCCAAAATCAAGTGTTGCGATTGCACTTGGATTTGGATGAAAAATCGCAGCGTGCGCCATATGCATTTTGCCTTTTTTGGCGCCTGGCGAAAGCAAAAAATCAATTTAGTGAATGTTGTTCGAAAAAATTTGATTAATTTAATAACGGACTATTAAATGTGGTAAGTTTACATCTCCCATACGGAAAGTTAAAAAAAAAATACATACATATATTGAAATTTTTAATTCCTAGGATCTCAAGAGATATAGATGGTGTCCGGATCTGAAGATGGAAGTTTCCCGTGTACGTGGGCATGCGTAGCTAGTCCAGTATTCGCGTTAAGTATTCCGAACACATTTGCCAGCGTGATCGGCGAGGGAATGCTGAAGATTGGGAGCATCTCACATGCTAAGAGAGCTAAGAGTAGGTGGATAGTTGATTGAATTTTGCAGTACAAACATCTAAAGTTAAACTCATTTCTAGATTCTAACACTGGACTGGTGCCCCGACTGATGCAAGCTTAATACAACGGCCTATTGGATTTATCGGAATATGGAAAGTACATCGAGTTTGCAGCAAAGAAGTGTGAAATATGCAGCAACAGGGAGTACCATTCTCACCAAGGTTTTGTTTTAATAATTTTAAATTGTATGAGTGTTTATAAAAATAAATTGAACTAGTATGACTGATTTGCAATGGTTAATTTAAACGTTGAAGAAAAAACGAACAATCCAATTTTTATTCAATATTTTCTAATTCAATACTCGATTTTAAGTAATTTTTATCCAACATTCGCTCTTCATGAAACAGTTACATTTCACTCAACATGAAGTTTTTGCAAAATACTCAAAATTGAATACTTCGCAAAGAACTCAATTTTGACTGGTTGCACTTAGTTGTCAAGATGAGTACAAAAGACTTAATTTTGAGTTGTTTCGTCTTTCCGTGTAATAGAAACATTACGTCGTCTGTGGTATTCGGTCTATTCGGTACTATCAACAATCAATACGAAACTAACGATTTTAAATTGGCTCACCACTTTAGTAGCCTATTGGTCCCAAGCAAACGATTAACGTACCCTATTCTAGTTGAAATTCTATTACTACACTATGTTTGTTTTGATTCGCTATAAAAGTTTGACAGATAACATCAGGGGTGTGTGGATTCATGCAGAACATGCAGGGGTGAGTGAAATAGCTTGGGACTGCTTGGGACCGTTGTTCTGGTACTGAGTGAGCCAAAAATAATAATGATTTTCTTCGCGACCCAGTGGTCTTAGAGTCAAGGTTGCAAAGACTCATTTCAGCTAAAATAATGTTTTTCGGAATAATAAAACCAAAAGATGGTATGATGGCATGTTTTACTTGTAACTTACAAGAAGAGGTTACAAAGTATGCGTTGGAAACATAAAACCTGTAAATTTTGCTTTATATGAGTCACTATCAGCGATTTGCTGATCGCTGAGTGAGTGAGTGAGTGAGTGAGTGAGTTTGTGAAAAATCGCTGATTGTGACTCTCATGAAGTGAAATAAACAGGTTTAATATGTCAAACACATGCTTTGCAACCTCTTCTTGTATCCTACCAATTCAAAATTTGATCATGGCATCTAATTATTTCATAATTTAGAAAAACATTGTTTTAGCTGAAATAAGTCTTTGCAACCTTGCTTAGAGTTACCTCTATGGTACTATTTTTTCTGAATAGTTTCTGTAAAATATATTTTGTACCGAAAGGTTTGCAAAATATATCGTTTTACAAACTTTCAGCAATAAATAATACTGAATTTACGTACTCTCCGAAAATTACCGAAAACTGTAAATAAAAATTACTGATCTAAACTGTAAATGGCTGCAATTCTATTATACTGTAAAAAAAAGTGGCGAACGTACTGTAAAACTAGTCTTTTACAAAAACAAATGGTAGTAAAGCACCAGATTCTTGTAAATATTACAAAACAGATTTGTAAATGTCATACTGTCAAAAACATCCTTTGTCGGTATTTCGAGTGGAGTGTTGTTTCGAAAAGTAAGCATTTTGCTATAGTCTGCTGAACATATGGAGAGGAGAATTATTTTACTTTAAATTCGATCCTTGGACTTAAGGTGACCTGATGTTTCCCTCAACTGCATGTTGCCGTCGATAACCTGGTTTAGATTCCCTGGATCTGGACCTGAAGAATCCTTTTCTTGGCGTCGCAAATTTTGCTGTGTTGTTCAAAATACCAGGGAAAATGCAATAACATATATTTTAATGGAACAAACAGTTTGTTAATTAAAGCTGATTAAATTGCAATTTATATAACCACAATGGAAAATAATTTACAGATATTTCGGTTAAAACATTACTGAACGCTATTGTAAACTTTACCAATCATTCAGTATTATTCACAGTCCAGGTCAGTAACTTTTGACAGCTCAAGAGGTAAGACAAATTTACCTAATGAATTGTAAATCCAAAAAATTACCAAATCGATTACCGAATGTTCAGCTGTTCCATATTCGGTAAAAAATTACAGTATACTGTAAAAAAAACTTAGTGTGTAGTGAAAACTTAGATGATTTTCCATTAGTTTCTAGATGTCTGTTCCCACCCATTACATATCACCAGTTTTTCACCATGAAATATATCAGACAATATTCATATACATCTTATCTATCGCTAACCACGGTCGAACCAAAGTATTATCAAGTACTAAGTATGTGAAATTACGATAGAAGTCATTCCATATCGCAGTCATAGTTTTTAAGTGATAATCCAATGGAATCTATTAATCATCGAATAGAAATTGTAATGTAGGAAACATCAGCAGACATCTTCAAAACATTAAATTTTTAATGTGTATTGCCGTACCCTTAATGTATTCAGGCTTCAAAGTGACGTCCAAGTACATAAAAATACATTAGCCTCAAACGTTACATTAGAATCAAACGTCTTGAAGATGTAAAATTTGACATCAGGACACATACCATAAACGAAGTGACAGACGACTTACTGGCGAAGAAATCCATTTAAATAATGTGGTTCACTGTAATAGAATTTTCTTGGAAGCTTGTGCGATCATCCACCAGATGGGTTAGTTTTTTTTGTTTTGAATTGAACAAAGTTGATTTTGTGTACAATGATTCTTTGACAGTGTGCAAAGAGTGCGTATCATTTTGTCATTTTTTTATGCATTTCAGTTTTGAGTAG